TGCACGTCAACATTCTTACACTGATAGCAGGTAATAATTGCTTCTTGAATACCTAAATCACCGCAAATTTCACAAAAAATTTTCTGCAAGTTCATAAGAAAAGACAAGAAATTCAGAACCAACATTACCATATGAATAGAATGAAGAATGAGAAAACAAAATGTCATCAGTTACATAAAGGTAAATCATATTAAGCAAAGTATTATCCTTGACATATTATTTTGGAAAGAAAATGGGGATTTTTTAGAGCAACAAACACAACCTGTTGGAGTTAAAGAATAAATCTTGATGCACAAAATAAATCTCTCCAGACTATTTGTCTATCTAAAACAATATGATCATATAATCTTTATAAAAAGAAAAAGAAAAAAAAATACAACCATAATGCAATATGAATTGATGTTAAATTATTTTCAACCTAAATTTCTAACAAATTAGTAAGCTGACTTTGGAGTAAAGCAAACATCCTTAGTACTGAAAGAGCAACACAAGATCCTAATACATGGGACAATTGAACTGCACGCAAAATAATTGGGAAAAAACACCTAACAAACAACAATGTATTGATAAAATCAAAGTTATTAATAGTTATGGGATGGTGATATATATGTCTCTTAATGATATAGAAGATATTATTATAGATAAAACTTGTATAGAATTCAAACTTCTGATAAAAGGAAACCATACTAGACAAACTTACTTTAGAGTCTAGAACTTTAGAAGTCAATATTGCCTATTCGAAGTATGTGCAATAAGTTGGTGCTATTACAACTTATATTATTCATATTTGGGTCACCTCATCACAAAAGTACTATTTCACATGTACTTACTTCTCTTTTGTCAAGTACTGCATCTCTTTTGTGATGCATGTATGAACTCTCAGGGTGGCACTAATCCTTGCTAGGCACGCTGCACATTTCATTGGCTTGTGGTAAACCCTATTTATTAGCGAGGCATGTTTACTTATGAAGTAACATTTCTATATTTTGAGTATAGTTAGGGACTTGTATCATATGTGATTTTGAAGTTCCATAAATATCATACCCATGTCATGTTTTATTTTGTAAAATTCTTATTGTAGCCTTGCTTTTATGACTTTATTGTTTTTTTTTATTTTAACTTTTCAGTGAATGAATTACTCAATACTTTATGAGATGCTTTGCCTTTCTCTTATATGTACCTATCATGTTCATAAGTGGTATTAGAGAACTAGGATTTGTTGATGATCATATATATAATTGAGAGTTTATACATACATTTAAGAAGTTATCTCTTTGTTCCAATTTCTGTTAAATTTCATGTGTCAAATAAGTAAGTGATGAGCAAGAAATGGAAGACTTGAGTACTGATGATACCGCCCATTGGGTAAGATTATGAAGTGTTTGTTAGTAAGGAACGATACTTAAGAATGAAATTGAAAGGGTAATGAGGGGCCAAGGAGGAGGTATATAATGGCTCAGTCCGCTAATGATATTGTTCGCTTTTGGGCCTACGCGCCCATGAATTTATAATGTGTCACTGTGGTGCCACTATAT